GGATAAGTAGCACTCCATTGTATAAAAAGAATCACATCAGAATGCAGCAAATAATCAAGAAGATTATATTCCTTGACCAAGTATGATTTATCTTAGGAATGCAGGGATGATTCAACATATGCAAATCAATAAATGTAATACAACATACTAACAGAGCCAAGGGCAAAAATATGATCATTTCAATAGATGCAGAAAAAGTATTTGACAAAGTGCAACACCTGTTCATGACAAAAACCCTACAGAAAATTGGAATAGATGGTCTTCAAGTCAATCTGATATGACAAACCAATAGCTAACATCATACCAAATGGTTAAACACTGAAAGCTTTCACTATAAAGTTAGAAATGAGACAAGAATGTCCACTATCACCAGTCATATTCAATATAGTTCTGGAAACAGTAGCCAAAGCAATTAGATAAGAGAAAGAAATAAAAGGGTAGGAAAAAAGAAGTTATACTATCATTATTTGCAGATGACAAGATATTCTGTTAACTGGTCTGAGAATTATGATAGCAGCAAGACATTGCTGACCCCAACATGAAGACCCCAAAATTAACACTTTGTGTCAGCACTGGATACAAAATCAACATTTAAAAATCAATAGCCTTCCTGTACACAAATAACAAAGTCACTGACAGAGAAATTAGGAAAACAACACCTTTCACAATAGCATCCAAAAAAAAAGGAATACGTAGGAATCAATCTAATGAAGAAAGTAAAAAAACCTTTAAATTTAAAACTAAAGCACTCTGAAACAGGAGATTGAAGAGGATAACAGGAAATGGAAAGATATCCCTTGTTCTTAGGTAGAAAGAACTCCCATAGTGAAAATAGCCATATTTCCAAAATTGTTATATAGATTTAATGCAATCCTGGTCAAAATTCCAACAGCATAACTCACAGAATTAGAGAATATAATCCTAAAATTCATTTGGAACGAAAAGAAACCTAGAATAGCAAAATTCCTAATAATCATATAAAAAATAACTTGTAATTTAAATTATTTCAAATAGAATAATGCCAGTCACTGACTGTACTGTTTTTTAAGTAATAAAACTAAAACAATATCCAGAGAAATATTTTTTGACATTATATGATATTTGAGAAAAAGAGCACAAATACAATTACCCATTGAGTTCAGATTTTCATAGTGTAAAAAACTTGGAGTCTACAGGCTGATCAACTTGTGTTTAATGTACAGCTATAGTAAAATCTATATAGTTATTGTTCAAGCAGTTTACTGGAAACTAAACTATCTGCTTTCAGAATTCTTACCCCAGGTTAGTTTCCCTTTTCCTGGTATGTCCCCTGTAAGGAAATGATATAGTCTCCTGGTCTTGGAGGGTTTATGAAGAGTTAAGAAAGAGACTCTCATCTGTACTGCCAAATCAGACAGGTCTCACACAATTGATACTCTGGTTTAGAGAATTCTCCCTTGAGAGGTGATGTCCTGTGCATTACAAGATGCTTTGCTGCACGCGTAGTATCTTCTCACTGGATACCAGTAGCATCTACTTCTAGGGATGACCAAAAATGCTTCCAGAAATTAATGTATGTAGGAAGACATGGGGATTGGTATCCCTCTGGTAGAGAACCATGGACTAAGACAGTTATATAATTTGGACAGTTTATCCTCCCCTCAGCAAGATTAAGATTAAGGGTCTGGAGAAAAAGTAGCTTACTAAATATACTGTCTCCTTTCTAGATTTGACATTTGGCACTTTGCCTAGTGAGGGTATACTTGTTTCATTCTTTACTTTCCATCTTTTTTTTTATTTTACTTTTAATCTCAAAATTTTTCCTTCCCATTTCAGCCCCTGTTCAGTTCTATTGCACCAAACGTCAAAAAATAAATGTCTTCCTTTATTTCCCACTATAAAATATTTCTATCATGGGGCATATGTATTATCAGGAAAAAAATCAGACCAAGCAACTTTAATCCAATTTGTAATGCCCTGACTATTCTTAATGGCCAGGGGGTTGTAAATTTCAGAAACTGGTTTGCTAGTTCTCTAAGCTTCCCTCTGACTTTGTGGAGCCATATGTTTCTAGGATGAATTCATTATAATCTGTGAATAATGTGACTGTATACACTTTTATATAGTTCCTTCACCCTCTACTATGACTCTCATTGATATCAGACCATAGAATTCCTCTTTGGACTGCGAAATATTCAATGTTTTCTTCTCATTTAAGGAGATTTTGTGTTTCTCTAGCTATTCCAGATGACACATAAACACAAAATATCGAATTACTGCTATTAACTACTGTTTTCAATACATCATTCAAAAGTACTAGCATGTACTATTTTTATTTTTCTTTTAAAGAGAAAAATAACAATAAAACAGTTTCAAAACAATTTAGTAGGAGAGTTACAATAATTAATATATTGTGTATTGTTGTCTTCGTCATTCAGAGTACAAGACCCCTGCATGTAAGACAGTGTGGTACATTTGGGCTTGCACATGGTTCAGTCCATGGACAGCTACACCAGGATGCAAATAGCATAGTGAAAGGGCTTGGTGTATGCAACCATCTCCAATATAGCAACCAGGAAACAGAGAGGGGATTGGAAGAAAGAGGAGGGAGGGAGTTAAGGACAAGAGTAAACTTTCCAGGCCACATCTTCAGGAATCTATCTCATATAACCAGACTGTACCTCTAAATGGCACATTCAACTGTAATGGGTCATGTGATCCACTTGGGAGTATAGTGTCCCAATGATTCAACACCCCTGAAGAGCCCCACCATTGAACACATGGATTTTGGGGGACATGTAGATCTAAACTATAACAACTTGTATTTACCAATGATTTTGCATGTAATTATGCATTTAGAGAAGAAACAAAAATTTTCACCCTGATAGATGAACAGTGAAAGCATTCTCACAAATAAGATATGTTAAGAAATTTAAATTACATAATAATTTCTCAGAACTATTTTACTTAAAAAATTTTAATCTACCCTTTTATTACTATGTATTTGTAATACATAATGTTTACATATTTGTGGGGAGTTGGTACATGTACATAGTACATCTTAATTCCTTTTATTGTCATCTTTGTCTTCCCTCAGTCTGTCTCCCACCATCCTTTGATATTTTGCAGTTTTAAATAACTTTTTGGAACCCTGACTATTTTCCAGAAACTCTTCTAAGCCATTTATTGATATTGCATCATTTAATCTTTATAACAATTTTATTTTAAATGAAAAATTGAGTCTCTGAGTGGGTTATATAAAATACCTTGTGCCTGAGTTGGCTGACCATCCAAGGAATCAAGATTTAAATTTGGAGGGGCTGGGGATTTAGCTCAGCGGCAAA